AGTAATATTATTTCTTTAAACATTTTTATCAAACTCTTCAGAAATTTTTCTAGAGAATCTTTTGGAAGAAGAAGATTCAGGATGTTTGAAAGACGTGAAAAAAATAACGGTAACATTATTTCTGCCGCACCCATTGGTCGTCTTTATTCTGGACTTTCTAACTAAGCATTTTCTGTTTAAATATGCTCCGATTTACAAAGACAAAAATGCAGAACTTTTTTCTGTAAAAACAACAGCAGAACTGTATTTGAACGACCTTTCGTGATTCTTATTGAAAAAAATAGAAGAAAATTTTTCTTGTTCTTGAATATGTTATTTTTTCTATACTTCTTGATATTGCTTTGATACCTACGTAATTGCACCCCTGTTGAGATGAAGAGCTGGTGCTGTATGAAAGTATGATAAGTCAACAATCATTGATTTTTTAGATTCTGAACATTACCTATAGGTGAAGTTCATCTTGTAAAAGCGATCTAGACACATATATTAACAGTTCGATCTAAATTCTTACTATAATGGTTAAACTCGGTCTTTATACCAGTGTTTGAAGTTAAGAGCAATTAACACAATCAATTGAAAAGAACTGCGTACATCATTTTCCATTCTTTCTTTTCTCTCTCATTCCTAATGTTTCAAGTGTCAAAAGTGCTTTAAAAGATCATGTATGCCAGGAAATATGTCTGAACAATCACCACTATGTAGTACGTTAACTGTTCATTTTCAAATATTATGAATGGCGTAATAAAATGGATTTAATATAATAGAAAAAAGAAAAAAAAATCGATTTGTCGCACAATGAAGAAGAAATTTATGTGACATTAATAATTATTTTTTTGTCATTATAATAGAGCCTCGCAATAATATTAACTTCGTTTTGTGTAACACCACTCGATGGAAATCAGACGAACACTTCCTTTCACTAAAATAGCAGTTTTTAAAGGATTGCCTATTGAATTACACCGATTCGACTTCTGTGATCAGATGTAATTATCAATTGTTTATCTCTTCTGCTATGCGTCAATTACGTTAATTAAAGTTTCCTCTGTATTATTAAATTTGGTTTAACAATTTTCGCTAAGATACTGAAGAAAGAAAACTAAAACAATTTGTAGCCACATTAGCTGATCTTAGACTATATTTCATGTCGTATGACCTAGATAATAAACAGAAAGAACGAACGAACGAACTTAAAATAGATGTGTTGATTGGTAACAAGTGACAGAAAAGAGGAAACAACGTAGAAATTTTAAACCAAAAACAGTTAATTATACAATGAAAACAAGATTTTAGTATGTTTATGAGAAGTTCATGCATGTACTCGTAATTTTTCTGATTAATTAATGAAAATCATCGTAACTATATGCAAATAGAGAAATCAGTGTTGAACGGATATGCTTGCATGACCTTGAATCAAATTAATCTTGATTTTCTTTCATTTTATAATCTTTATTAAATTCATTATCTCTTATAATACTCTCTTAATAGACTACAAAGGCTCTTTCCGAATTTAGATGACTTTTTTGCATTTACTCTCACTCTCACTTGGTCGCCCTCTGATGTTTGTTTGATGTAATTAAGACTTCGAAACTTTTTTGATAAAAAGTGGTCACAATTCGGAAGACTTGACTACAAACTATATACTATTTCAAAAATAGTCTCTTCTGGGACCGATATGAAATGCAATAATGCACGAGATTTCAAATACATTTGATCTTTTCATTTATAAATCTTATATTAAAAACAGAAACTGGCTTTTATTTTCTTTATTTAAAACACTCTGAGGATTTCCTCATAATTCTTAGAGTTAAAAAATAGTTTTTCAATTCATAATGCTCAAAAACAACTTTTTCTTTTTAGAAGATGATAATTATTTTCTATTCTAAAATGTGAAAGACTTTAAATAATTTCTGATGATAGGGTAGAAAACAGGCATTAAAATCAGCACACTGGTAATCCATCTTATTCTATGATACGAAAACACATTTTAGTTCTAATTGTTTGTGTTACATTTAATAAACCACCTGCTGTGAGTGTTTTTTTAAGACTAATAACAGTTCTCATGCAAAAGATTTTGTAATAAGATTCATTCATCAGGCAAACAAAACATTTCATACTTGGAAACTCATTTATTTTGTTTATTTACTCATTTACACTTTCAAGTACACATTTCTCGTAATCATTACTGTTTCTTTTTATTATTGACAATCGGTGATGTTTTTTTTTCTTTTATCTCATCAAGTGTGTTGTAATAGTTGAATAATCACCGGAAACAAAATATTGTATATAGAAAAAAGGAAATGAAAAGAAAGAAATACGATTTGGTTAATTACCGAACATAATGAGACTGTGTGGTACAGCAGCCGTTATTATAAGTATTTAATTTCTTAGACTTATTGGAGATAGTTACTTGAAATGTTGTACTCGTCAGATAATGATCACTCATATACTGATACCAAAGAAAATGACTAAACAAAAAAAAACTTGATTTCCACAATTAAATGAAACTTTTATGATGATTTAGTCAATTTTCTTTGAGTGAACTCATTTTCTTTTGCATCAGAAGCACAAAAGTAAAAAGTGCACTGACATTAGCAGTCTTAAATCGTATTAAATGTGTAAAAATATTGAAAATTAAACTAGACAATAAAAAATTCAAATAATATAAAAATCTTTAGTAAAAACTATCAAAGAAGAACGGATGCAGTTGCTACTAGATTAAAAATCATTATTCTTCTGCTCAATGTTATTTGCATATGAGTGGAAGAGAAATGAAATCACATGGACAATTGATCAAAGGTGATATGGTTGGTCAGGATGTGGCGAGTGCTATATTTCAAGCCTTTTCTACATGTCCAAGAAATCGGATACTTATGATGACAGCTGTTGCACTTTATCTTATATTTCTCATAAGAAAGAATGTACTTTGCTAAGATAGAAAATGACAATCTTCAAGCTCTTTGCTTCAAGCTGATACTTGCTATTCAAATCGAAAACTAAATTACAAAAGTAAAAAGTTGTACGTTTTACGTTCCTATCAAAGATATTATCTGAAACATCATTTAGCTTGATCCGAGAGTTTGAATCGAAAGAGTAGATAATCTGTTCTTCTTCATTTACGTGCATTTAGCGTTATTGCTTGTCATCGTAACGATGGAAAGGAAATCTTCATCATAAATCATATAGTGAAGGATATTGTATTCTTAGCACATGTTTCTATACTAGTGTAAATACGCAAGAACAAATGGAAATAATCTAATAAACAAAAAAATATGTCAAAAATTCAATCTGTAGAAAATATTCTAGTGTAAATTTGTTGCACGTGTGTCACTTTAAACATCCAAAAAAAAGTTGGAATAGACCATATAAGAGACTGATCGTTAATCTCTTGGCTACTCTTTTTATTTTCTCACTATAACGGAAATATTAGTTTATAATAGTGTGACACGCCATAGAGACTTCAAGGTGGGGAGATATAAACGGTTTCCTCTTCTATGTTCCAATTTCAAAACAATTATTATTCAAAAGTGATACTTGATATATATATGTAGATTCATTATACAATATAAACACGCTCATGTTTTTTTTTTCTTCTTTGTGAATTTCTCATTAGAGAAAGAGAATGACACACGTATTAAAATGATGGTGATGATGATGATGATGATGATGATGATGATGATGATGATGATGATGATGATTAACAATCCCACGAGCTACTATACTTTTTTTCACTGTGAGACTGATGGAATTTTCTCACATCGAATAGTTAGTGTCAATCAGCCTAAAGAAGAAAAGAATATCATTATAGGAATTTGAAACATGAAAAAAAATCTCTTTTTGTCAATCTATCAGACACGAGCTAAATGTGTCAATCAATCATTCTAAGCATAGATATGAGGAAAAAATATTTTAAGCCTTAAGCTACTAGATAGACGAGAGTGAAAATGAATATAATATTAAATTAAGAAAAATAAACAAGAGAAAAAAAGAAAAACCCTATTTCATTTAAGAAGATTTTTTTTTTTTTTTGTTAAAATGATGTAGAAAACAAGGTCAAGACCTGTACGATAGAAAGATAGAGAGAAGAAACTGTACTACATCATTAATTAACGCGTAATACTCGAGCGTCTTTCTCATATAAAAAGAAATCAACGATTTTTCGTTTCATTGATTTATGAATGAATTACGTAATACAGACTGATCAGATAATTATCTATTTGATATAAAAAAAAAAGAAAAAAAGAACAACATTTTTTTTATAAATTCAACAAAAAAAAAAAGAGATTACAGAACAGCTCTCTTCGACTACTCTGAAGTATAAAATATTATTATCTCGCAGTTTGGACAAAAAAGAAGTTTATTTAGCCATACAAGATCTGTTTTATCAAATAAAGTCTAGCCAAATGAACAGTTTCTTCTTTTTTTTTTTAATTTTTATACACTACGTGTTAATAGTAGATGTGGATAGGGTAGTCTATCACGTTCTACATGAAAAAATTCTTTCTGTAAGATTAAAACATACATACTTTTTCTAAATACAAGCCTGTTTAATCACTAAGATATGAATATCCACTATTTTATTGCTATAAAGACTACTCGATCTTTTGTTGATATTAGACAAAAATAATTGCATTTTAATTTCATATAGTTTTCATATAGTTTTTCATATAGTTCTTAGAAGAGTTAATGATAGAATATGTAATCGATAGACTGATTAATCATATTTCTATTAACTTTGTTCCTATATGTCGATTGTTTTTTTCTTCAACAAAATATAAAATGCACGGTATTTACTAACTGCTTTAATAGTACATTTAAAATGATGACATTGAATTTTGGTAGGCGATTTTTTTTTTTTTACTTTCTACGAAAATTAAAGAAATAATAACGATATTTTAGAGCTGAGAAACAGAAAATAACGTATAGTGGAAAAAAATCACCCGGTACTGATGTACTTTTAACAAATAAAATTATTATTATTATTATCATTATTATTATTTTCTCTAAACAATTTTTAATGGAAAATTTGATATCGAAGTTGAATCATCATTATCGTTATTATCATCAGTTGTTATCGATTGATCATTTAATAATGGTTCCATATCACCTTTACGCATTTTTGAAATTAAAAAACGTTTCCAATTCATCGAATTATTTTCTTTTTCTGTTGAATCAAAATAATATTCATCATTTTGTCTTTGTTTATATATTGAAAATGCTAATAATATAACGGTTAATAAAATATAGACACATAATATAATAAATATATAAATAAATGGTCCAAATGAAAGTGAAGACGATGGTGATGACGAATAGATATAATCATCGTATAATGAGGATAAATTTGTGTTGTTTATTAATAAAATATCGTCTGTTGGATAATAAATATTTGTTAGATTTAATGGTTGTTGACTATCATCAACATAAATATATCTTCCATCATCGATTATATCGTCATAGGATAACGGAAAACTGTTAGCATAATAAGATAGATCACGATTATTGGGCGGTGTTGATTTATGAATTAGACTTGATAAAATATGAAATGTAGTTGAACTAGTTGTAGGATAAATAGTAGAATTTATTAATAACAAAGATTTGTTGATACTCATATTTTGTCTAAAATAAATGTAGTAGAAAAAAACAATGAGAATAGATAATAGAAAAACAGAAATACATTTTTTTTTTTGCTTTTAAGTAAAAAAAAAAAAGACATGGGCGAAAAACCTTGTTCTAATCATCCTGCATCAGAAATTCGTATCATCATCATATTTCATGTCACACACTATTTATTTTTCTTTTATTGATTTGTTTTTTCCTCCT